CTCGCGCGGCCGCGCTGCCCGCTCCTGGCCCCCCGCGCGCCACCTCCACGCACACGCGGGCTGGGGGAAGCACCTGCTCCCAGGTGTTTCCAAGGCCCGCGCACGAGAGAGACGGGGCTGACCTATGAAAAGCAGCGCAACGGGTTCCCAGATGTTTTGGAACACACACCTGAGCAGAGGAGCGAAACATTTTCCGTGTGGGCGCGAGCTTAACTAACCTGGTTGCCCAGGAAACCCCCACCTCACCCTGCCCACCTTCCGAATTGCCCGGTGGATACCGGGGATTTAAAAGTACCGTCCCAGGATCATGATGTGAGTTCTTGATAGGTACTGTCCGAAATCAAAAGGCAGAACTCCCAGAGATTAGCGTGTGAATGTTAAAAACAAGAGAAAATCAAGAGAAAACTCTGAGAATTCATTTTCTCTGGACTAAAGGAGGAAACCTCAAAGCATCCTTCTCTGTGGGCTGTGTTTTCAGTGGTTTTTGGGGAAGATAGAAATCTCAGGATCATGAGGGGTGCTGTTGAAGAAGGTGTTCATTGCTTCCTTGAGAATGGACTCCCTTAATGTACAGAACGAGTCGCACCGTCAGCCCATTCTTGCGAATGCCTTCGGATCTTCAGAATAGTTTTTGACATCATCTGAGACTTGAGCAGCTGTAACCACATAGGGTGGGATGTGGAGCCCCAGACCCGGAACAGGAGGGCGGCTTTAAAGTCACAATGGGATCACACTTGTAGGCTATTATGGATGTGGAACTCCCAGCACCTGCAGTGCCCATCATTGTTATTGAGACACTAATGTGCATTAGTCAGTCCTTGCACCATCTTCCTTAGGGAGGATACCTGAAACTGAGGGATGAGGAAACCCGATGCGTACAGGGAGGTTAAGTGGCTGTTCCAGGGAAGGAGTGGCCTGGTTAAACATTAAAACCCGGGTGGTCTCCAATCTTGGACTTTATCCAGACATGCCATTTTATCCAGCCAGGGAAAACAATCAGAGCTGGGCAGACCTCATTTGCAGACAAAGACAGGGATGCCCGCAGAAGTTGCATGAATTGCCCGGTGTCACACAACTGGTTATGGCAGCGCTACAAATGGAAATCAGTCCTGAGATCGAGTCTCGTGTCCTTCCCACTGCTTCCAACAAGCCTGCAGGACCGGGTCATCGCTCTGAGAGAGAACCCATGCTTTGCATTTCAGTCAACATTTTCCTAGCCTTCAAAGTTCAGAGTCATGGACCTGGCTTCTCAGAGATTGGTCAACATGTTTAGCAGTGTCTCTGACTTCGCACCATTCTTTCTCTAAAGCTGGTTTCCTTTAACTATTAATAGTTTGCTTTGTGAAATAAAACAAGTCAGGCACAAAAAACTCCGGGACATCTGATGAAGAAAACGATAAGGCCAGGTGAGGTGGCTCATGCCTGTAATTCCAGCACTTTGGGAGGCCAAGACAGGAGGATTGCTTGAGGCCTGGAGTTCCAGACCAGCTTGGGCAACATATAGTGAGGCCCTGTCTCTACTAAAAAGTAGAAAAGAAAACAATGAGGACCTACAGTGTTTCTTGTCTTCCTTAAAATCTTCCTACTCAAAATCTAAAATCTTTGTGATCTTTCACATCTTAAGTTTCTTGTTAAATAACTGAATTTTTAATGGATTATGTCTGTTGCTGCAGGAGTAGCTTGACTTTCTTTTTCAAAAATTTTTTTTTCTGCCTGTAGAGGTAATTCTCTGCCTTTTATAAAGAATTTGGCAAACAGATCCTTTTGTGGGTCATAAGCATGATGATTGGGTTTTCACACACGTATGAGATGTGTCTGCCTCAAAGCTTGTTAGGACGTCAGCACATTACTCGTCTGAAAAAAAAAAAGAGTTTGGCAAACAGAAAAGTATAAAGAAGAAAGTAAAAATAACCTGCCATTCCATAATCTGAAAATAACTGCTATTAACATTCAAATTCTCTTTGTTAATTTTTAATGCATATTCATATATATAGATATGGACTTTTTGGGCATGACTGAGATTATATGTTACACGTAAAATTTGGCGTCCTGCTCTTGATTGCTTTTTAAAGATCAAAAAATTATCACATGTATCTTATCAGTAAAGGATAATCCAATGTCATCAGCAGTTTACCACAGCTCAGAATTTGAGTCAGATATCAAAGCCAAATAAAGACACCTTGTTGAACAACTTACATCTTGAAACAGAGAGAAGAGGAGGAGACAATCTTGCCCAAGAGCTTTTTGATTTGCCTCTCTCAAAGGAAACCACATATGGACTTGCCAATTTTGAGCTG